ATTTATTCACTTGATAGTTTCCACCAAGAAGTAAAAGCTATGTCTTTTCACCGGTTTTCATAATTAACAGCAAACAACGTAAATAGCTAATCCAGAAATGCAAGCCATTAAACCAATGGCTAGAAGCATCATGTAGCAGTAAGCGTCAATTTTACTCACGCTGTCTCACCTGTGAACGTTTATCTTTCACACCAAATGGTTTCAAAAGATTGTATGGTGGCCTTTGATTGCCCCTTAAAATGCCATTCTGAATAGATGAAAGAGAGTATGTGCACCCCCCAACAACATACTTGAACTCCCCGAACAGCTTCCTTCGTTCCAATTGACCAGTAGGATGACCCCACACTAATATTGCATGGATGGCCATCATATTGTACAAATTTATGAAGAAGGCCAGCTTCTCCTCCCTTGGCATGTCTTGCACTTCCACTCTTTGGAGCTCTTGAACTATTCTTAAGTACCTAAAATGTTTTTTCCGTTAACAATGAATACTAAAGCATTAAAAGGAAGCAAATAAAATTTTCAAGATACTAGAGTGAGCAATATCATATACTAAGAAGCATCAAACCTTGCAAATTCCTCACTTCCATGGATACTTCTATAATCAACATGTCTTCCATCTTCTAATGCATAGGCTTCAAAAATGGCATATGACAAAAATCTCAGCCTCGATGCGATTTCAGTGATGGGCTTTGGCTTCAGTTCAATTATACCCCTTGGAATGTTGTGACACTGAGATGACACAGCAGGATCATGGTCCAAGAACCGATACAAGTGGCTGCCATCCTCGAATAGATTCTCACTATCATAAAGCATCATAGAAAAAAAATAAGAAGAGTTTTCTACAACAGATTAAAAATGTTACACAAAAGAATAAACTGGGAGGGTATGGACTCACTCCAGAACATGTCGAAAGAAGAGTTCACTAGCAAGCTTTCGCCCAAATTCAACAGCCTGGCCCACAATGCAAGAACAACAGAAAGGGAAGGGGGAGTTAATGGAGATATAACCACATCCAAACAAGTATAAGCAGAGCAAGCACACAAACTCTTAAATTTTAAACTCAAAAGCAGTGGCAGACTGACTTGGTCAAAAATCTCCAAAACCACCCATTCAAAAAAGAACAAGAGGATAAGGAAAAAAGAGAAGTGTTGTTATTGCAATATGTACTACTATATTTTTGAAACTGTTACAATATAGTATCATAAAACATGATGGTAAAAGATAAACTCAGACATCCATAATCCACAATATGCCTACTCAACATTATCCAGATTGCTTGAAAGGAAAAAGGGAAGGAAAAGGCCTCATGGAAATTTGCAGAACTTAAATAAAAGTTCTACTGTTGCATCTATTCATCTGACTGGAATGAATATCAGTAAAAGGTCTACTGAAGAGTATTTTGATATGCAAGAACTAAAATGAAAGCCATCCACAATAATGTGAACTTCATACCATTTTTAAGTTAAAAAGAAGCAATATTTTAATATGCCGTAAAAAAAAATGTTTCTTTGGTTTAGCTTTTCATTCACAATATGAAACCACTGAAAGAGTCTTCTGATTCAGGAAATCATTGGTCCTAATTCCAAATGGAGAAAACAATAGAAGTAATAGAAAACCATGACCCTGCAATAATCAATTATCACCTAAAATTCACTATACTTGTCAGGGAAAACAAAATAAAAATCCCAACTAACCTCTTCCCTTTCCAAGTACTGATCTTCTGATAGGAAATCCACTGCTTCTGAACCTAAGAAACAGTTAGTGCACCTGCGCATCTTGTAAAACCGATCCTTAACAACAATAGTTGCCTTCATTTTTCGGACAATTAAAGCTAGTTCATCAACAGGCCCATTACTGGACACATCATCTTCACCAGAAAGAGGAGGTTGAGGAGCTTCAAGCGATGGTGCTTCAGAAATCAAAAAATCAATCTTCTCATCAAGCTTGCCAAAATCATCTAAGCCTTTGAGTTCGCTCAAGCCTCCAATCAGTACTTCATTAAATAAGACTTTAGGGACTGCACAAGATCCAGAAAACTTCTCTAGCTCCAATTTTCTACTGGGATATACATCAATGTTAATGTCAACATATCCAAGCCTTTTCCTGCGCAGAAACAACCTAACTTCTCTACAATCTTGGCATCCTAACCTTGTATACACTATTATTCTTCCTTTTGTAACAATAGGTAGAAGTGATTCTTCGATAACATCCCCCCCCTGCTCAGCTTTGCTTTCTGCATCAGCATCCCGTGACATCTTAATGTAATTTAGGGGATTCCAAGCAGATCTTTCTGCAGTTTTTGGAGACATTGCAGTATGTTCCCCACGTTTAGCAGAATCTGAAGAGTCCTTATCTTCATCAGCAGGGGCATGCTCAACTTCATCTCTTTTAAAAGAAATGCGACGCAGGACATTGGTTACTGCAACTGCACCCTTCTCCTTGACAAAATTCTTAAGTGCCACCGCTTTCTCAGGCCACACAGATCCCTCTTCCTCTGGATCACGATCCAAGGAACGAGTTGATAAACTCCGGTTAGCTTCCATCCCAGGAACCTCTGTTCCATCAAAGACTGGTTCTGGCTCCTCCTCATCAAGAATTTCTTTTGCAGTCTCATTCATTTCTTCTTGTGCTTTAGAATCCGAATCCACATCCATATTTATCTTGTTACCTTGTACAACATGTTTGTCATCATCGTCTAAATTGTCCCCAACAGCTTTAGATTCCAAGAGTCTATTCTGATCCTTGTTGTCACTTGAGCTGTCTTGTCTATTATCATCATCTAACTTATTAATGCCGACCTTGCTGAGGTTCAGACTTTGCATCTCTTCGACAGTTTTGCCCTGATCTTCTTTGTGAATTCCATCAGTATTTCCCTCTAGTTTTTGATCAATAGGAAAATCTGTAATATTTTTATCACTGAAGTTTTCCTTTTCCATAGTGTCAGCAACACATAAATTTGGCATCCAACTTGCTAAAACATGGCCCTCAAACTTTGCTCTAGTATTTGTTGCAGACAAGAATTCAAGGATTTCTTTGCAGATTCCTGCAGGGAATTTTTCACATAAACTTAGCCAAATTCAACAGAAGACCAATTCCATTAGGCATAAAAATTAAATATAAGATCTCATACATAGAGTCACATTTGAAAGTAGACAACTACCAAAATTGCTTGACAAACGACAAGATCTCCAGTTTTCACTTTTTAGCTATTCAAACAGTTTTACAATTGTTGAGCAGAACAAACAAGAAAAAAAATATTACTATAAAACTGGAATGGTCTCTATAAGTATACCAGTGCTCATTCAGAAGACTTTTCTGTAGAGATTAACTTCTTGTATCATTGTGACATCAGAAACATAAATACAAGCAGACATACATAACCAAAACTTAAACTCACAAAAGAACTGATGATAAGAAATTGTGTTAAAGCATTAGCTACAATCTACCAAGGAGATCAAGCCCTAAAAGCTTTGATTCTCGACCACTCGAAGTCAAAGGAATTGGTCAATCTTAAATTACATACGGATATAAACAAAGCAGGCAGATGTATACATAATAACAACACTAAAAGCATAAAGATAAAAGGCCAAAACACTAGCAGACAAATGCATATCTCATCTAACCAAAACAAACAAAAAATTAATTAGATAGAAAAGTGCTTTTCACTGTAGATATTTCAGAATCAAATAACAAAAAGATTAAATCACTAACTATTGATGAAGCTTTCATTTCTTCAGACTACTTAGCTCTCCAAAACAAAAACAAAAAGCAAAAAAATCAATAAACCATAGAAAAATCGATTGATAAAAAGTAACTAGGTTTTGCAAGTTAATCGTGATGGAAGAGATGAAAATCGGAAATGAGAGAGATAGAGAGAGAGAGAGAGAGAGAGAGAGAGAGAGAGAGAGCTTACAGATCTGGAGAGAGTGAAGAGGTGTTTGGCTCAAGAGAAAAAGTGAATTGGAAAATAAAAAGATCTGGAGAGAGTCAACAAATTAAATTCTGGAGTAACGATTTTCTATTTTATGTTTTGAAGGGAGGGGTTCAATTGAAAATGAAACCGTAAGAAAACATTAGGGGGAGGATTCTCAGAGGGGACGAAACGAGCGGGAGAAGCGGGAAGTCCGTGGGCTGGTTTTTGAGTTTTCCATTTTTTCTTTCTCACTTTTTAGACTTCAGGACCCCTTATCCTCTTTGTCTACTTTGGACCCAACTCTTCCTATGTGGTTGCAATCAACCCCTCCTTATCTTCATTATTACGGATTAACCAAATTATGATAGATCTGCCTAATTTCTATTACGTGGAGGCTCACAAGATTTACATAAAAATATAATGTACTGTCATGAATTAGCTATTTTAATACTGTAACGTAGACAAATGATAAGCTTGTTATAATCTTGAATTAGAAATGACTATGCTTGTTTTTAGTTTGTATAATTTTTTACGTAAACCTTTATAAGATTAAAAAGGGGAGAAATTTATTCAACACGACTAGTTGAAACTTCAACAAAAACTTTATGATTTTGGGGGTTTTTGGGTATTTTAATGCTTTCATGTTGTGAAATTTTTCAAAGATAACGACACATTTTATGAATTTGCTTTGCTTATTAATACTCCTTCTTTGTGTTATACAAGGGATTGGGTTACCATAATGAAGGTAAAAATCGTTTGCTCTCTAGGTTGTAGGTATCTCAAACACATGAAAATATCTTTTGAGTGAAATGGCTACATGAAAGGTACGCATCAGTTTCTCAGACACTGCATGTGAAGATTACATGAAAGGCAAGCTCCGAACACATGGTCCTTGAATACATTAATGTTCTAAGAACCCTCACCTTTGTCTAAGGAGAAAGGACACTTGATGTTTACTCATACTTCATAAATTATCAAGTGGGAAAATTCTAAATTCATGTGAGAGAAAATGAATTGAATTGGTTAATAATGTGCAAGGAGAGGACGAAATTTAAGAACTTTACATCATCTTTTTAAGTTGTGAGTATGAATGTCGATTTACATAGTGTTTACAAAGGACTACATGCATGCCTACATATATGTTCTAGTTCCTGGAGTGATATTCCATGTTCAGCAATCAGCATGATCAAGAAACAGCACTGGTGCCAATAATTTCATTTTCTTCTGCAATTCTTCCGGAATAACTTTCTTCATACAAGAGGGACAGGCCATGGCTTAACCCGATAACATTCTTTTGAATGGTTTGTTTTTTCCTTGTCCATCCCATATATACCATGCATTACTGGTTATAATTTTGACAAGTGCAATGCAACTGCATGACTTCATAAACAAGTTTTCACCTAAACTGCTCACTAGGCCAATTAGGTCGCCAGTAATAATTCTGCGGAAGGCTCTTCATCCCACTCAATATCTCCACATGCACTGAGTACTGTTGTCAGGATGTAGTCATCCACCTCAAAACCTTCTGCTTCCATCCGATACATAAGCTGCAAAGCTTCTCGACATAGTCCATTCCTTGCATAACCAATGATCATAGCCTTCCAAGAAACCAAATTTCGTTCTGGCAGGCTGTCAAACACTTGAAAAGCCTCTGATACAAAACCGCATTTGGCATACATATGGATTAAAGCACTACCCACAAACACATTAGATAAGGCAGGAGTTTTATTTGCAAAGGAATGAATTAACTTCCCTTGCGAAACAGCTTCAAGCTTAGCACAAGCTTTCAAAGCTGACGAATAGGTATAAGAGTTGGGTTCTACACCTTCTTCCATCATTTCCTTCAAAAAATCAAGAGCCTCAGCCTCATGCCCTAGGCTTGCACAGCCAGAAATCATGGCAGTCCATGAGACAACATCCCTAAGTGGCATCTGTTGGAGGACTTTGGAGGCAATATTGTACTCCCCACATTTACAGTAGAACCATACTAGAGTGCTTCCTATGTATATATTCGTTTGGATAGATTGTTTTACTATTTGTGCATGGACTTCCCTGCCCATAAGTAAATCCCCAACTGAACCACAAGCCCTGAGCATGCTTACTATGGTAAAGTTATTAGCAATTATATTTCGTCTCTTCATTACTCGAAAAAGACTAATGGCATCCTCACCGAGCCCCTTCCTTGCATACCCTGCTATAATGGAAGTCCATGTAACCGTATTTCTACTCCTCATTCCATTAAACACAATCCTAGCATCTGAAATCTCCCCACATTTTGCATACATATCCACAAGAGAAGTCCCTACAAAAACATCATTCTTGAACATCTTTTTGATTATGGCAGCATGTAATTGTCTCCCAGATTTCAATGCCTTTTCCTCTCCACAAGCCTTCAAAACACTGCAGACCGTGAACTCATTAGGCCAAAAACCATCACTTAGCATTCTCAAAAACATGGAAAAAGCCTCCTTTCCATTGCCTTGTTGAGCGCAAGCCGTTATCATAGTTGTCCAACAAACCACATCCTTCTTTCCCATCCAACAAAACACACGAAAAGCCTTTGACAACTCCCCACATTGCGCATAAAAATTAACAACAGCACTATCCACAATCAAATTCCTCCAATCCCCTTTCAGAATACACCCATGGATTTGTCTCCCTAACTCAAAATCCATCCTCCTACTACACAAATTCATCAAACAAACAAACATCTTCCCATTCCCTCGTACGCCACTCGAGATTGATTCCCCAAACAACCTCAAAGCTTCATCATCAAAACCCAACTTCGAATAGCCATTAATCATCGCCGTCCAACTAACAACATTTCTACCAGCCATTTTATCAAACACCTTTCGAGCTTCCATTAACTTCCCAAATCTTGAATATACACTAATCAAATTATTCTCAACATAGGTCCCCGGGTTCTTTAAAAGCTTTAACACAACTGCGTGGACTCTCCTGGCTTGCCTTACATTATAACAAGATTGAAGCAAAGCTGCCAGGTCGTCAGAGTCGACGCTTCGACTAACCGACGGTGGGGTTATATCCATAAAACCGGCATCTTGGTCTTCCTGGGAAGTTGAAATAGAGGTCGAATGATCGAATTCGGGTAAAAAACATGAATCCGTAGAAGAAAAGCAAGAAAACTGGGGTGGGTGTTTGGTGTTTCTTTTTTTGGACTTGGTTTTGGAATTGGAACAACGAAATGATGGCTTTTGAATGGTTGAAAAGGAAGGTTGTTGAAAGAGTGTAACTTGCGGTAAAATTACCGTTAACGAAAGCATTGGCTAGCTTTGCTTTCTTCAAAATTTCCCGCGAAAAAACAACGCCAGTTTCCGAACTTCTTAGCTCTTGTTTATTCTGGGGCCTTCAAAAAGCCGATTCATCGTTCGGCTGTAAACCTAAAAAGACCATTTTACCACTAAGCCATCTAGCGACGACGTCGTTTTAGCTAACTAAAATGAGAGATTGCAAGTTGCAGCCTTGTTAAACTATCAGCGGTTTTTTTGGCCGAGTCTACAATCTTAAATTGGAACTCTAAAACCCTGCCAGAACTTTGATAAACTCTTCCTGTTATTAATTAATAAAATTAAAATTTTAATCTTTTTCCATGGAGTTGGCTAGTGCAAGTCGTCAAGCTTGTTGTTTGTTGCCGGTGAGATTAAAATCTTCTAAAGCTACAAGTTATGGGTCTTCTTCTGCTTCGCTTTCCTCCACTAAAAATTCAAATCCATCTCGGATTCGTTGTTTGTCTTCAAAGTTCTCAAGTAAGATACTCTTTTGTAACTTGTAATTTGCAACCGCAGGTTATTAACCTAGTGCTTTCTTTGCTGTTTCATCTCTCTTTCTCGGTTGTCCTGCCTATATGAATTGGGTTAAACCAGGAGTTTAGTATAATAATAATAAGTAACTGCTGAAGCATTCTATGATGATTTGGTCAATGTTTTTTTTTGTTGGGTCACATTTATTTTCTTTGGTGCTTATTGGGTATGTTTTGGTTTCTTGAATTTTTACCAATTTTTTAAATTCCTGTAGTTAATAACGTTGCCGATAAAAAAGAATTGGGAACTTTGGTTAGCATGATGGTTTGGGAAAGCTTCTTTGTTAGGAACTTCTTTAGTTCTTGAAAAGAAGTATATATTATTCTTAGGCCATTTGTCTAACAGATAACTGTCATGAAATGGCAGTTTGTCCTGCATTGGTTGTTAATCAGGTGAGGCTGCGGCGACCTCTTGCTGCAGTTGTTGGTGATAAAACTGCAGTGTCAAATGATTGTGATGGAGAGCAGGTTGCAGGTCTGGATTCTTTTGATTCCTCACCTATTAATGATGAGGTTAATGAGAATGAAAAAGGTAGTGTTGAGGGCTTGGATAACGGTAAAATGATCAGAGTTTGTGACAAGTTAATTGAAGTTTTCATGGTTGACAAGCCCACACCGACGGATTGGAGAAGATTACTTGCTTTCAGTAAGGAATGGAGCAGCATCAGGCCTCATTTCTTTAAACGTTGTCAGGATCGAGCTGATGGTGAGGCTGATCCTGGGATGAAGCATAAGCTTCTCCGACTTGGAAGAAAATTGAAAGAGGTGGGTCATGTAATTTATAATGATCTTTTGACAGCGGTATCAGTTTTCTGTATGTTCTTTTATTCAGGATTTTTATGTGGGATATTGAATCTGGAGAGTTCTTTATTCTGTATTATGAATTGATTATTTGTATTTAAATGTCTTTGAGAAAATTTCTGCTCTGACACTCTCCCTACTCTTGGATTTTGAGAGAGAGAGAGAGAGAGAGAGAGAGAGAGTAAGGGAGAGTAAGCTACCTCCTTGTATGATGTGCACATGCTGAGCTGATCCATGTGCAGTGGAGATTCCTGGGAATGCAAATTCCTTATATCCTTTGGATGGCAGTGTTCATCTTATTGAGATAAATTGCTTTGCGATATTTAAATAATTGAGGCATGTCTGATGCATTCTGCTTTTGTTTTTAAGTTCATGCTGATGTCATAGTGATTCAGTGTGAGTTTCTGTTATCAGATCGATGAAGATGTGCAAAGACACAATGAACTTCTTGAAGTGGTTAAGGTTGCATCATCAGAGGTTAGCGAAATTGTTGCTAGACGTCGTAAAGATTTTACAAAAGAATTCTTTGCGCATCTTCACACTGTAGCAGAATCATATTATGACAATCCAACAGAGCAAACTGGTAAGGCAGGATGAAAGAATGATATTTTTATCAATGCTATATTACTAATTTGTAATATAAACTTGTAGTGTGTGCCATGTTCTATTATATGCCTGACAACATAAACAAATGTGTTAGGTTGTAGATTTATAAATTGAAACTCTTTTAGCTATGTTTGCTTCTCTTGCATTTCTTCGACAAAGAAAGTGCTAATTTGTAATGCTAGCAAGTCCAAGCCTTCTCTTTGCTAAAATTGGCCGCTGGATAACTACAGAATCACACCCCCTTTTCAATAGTCAGACACAATAAATCCTGGATCATCACTTTCTGAAGGCCACAAATGAGTTGAGTTTCAGGTTTCCAGTGCAATATGGGTTGGCACCATTGAACTGAACAAGGGTGAAAAAACTCAACCTGGAAGCCAAAATCCACCTTGACCTTGGATTTTATATACCTAGCTGATGCATTTGTTGGAGGGCAAGGCCTTAATAGGCCATTACTTACCTAAATTCAACGTGGAAGAAAATTCACCTTGGCCTGTGATCAGAACATTTATTTCATATACTTATTATTTTATGCTGTGCAGAGATTGATGAAAACATTCCTTTTATTTATTTGTTTCTATATGGCAGCTCTGGCAAACCTTGGGAATGCATGCTTGGCTGCTGTACAAGCTTATGATACTGCAACAGAAAGCATTGAAGCAATTAATGCAGCAGAGTTGAAATTCCAAGATATTATCAATTCTCCTTCTCTAGATGTTGCTTGTCAGAAGATAGATAGTTTGGCTGCGAAGAATCAACTTGATTCAGCATTGGTGCTAATGATCACAAAAGCTTGGTCAGCTGCCAAGGAATCTAACATGACAAAAGATGAGGTAACTGTTTCTGACTTCAGAGGGGAAAAAGCCCTCCTTCTGCTCTGCATAATCGTATTATGGATCAGCTAGATGTAGTTCTAGCTTTTTGACTCAGGGGAGACTGCACCCTGAAGAACCTTAGGGATGATCTTATGAATTATTTGAGCAATTCATCAGATTAGGGGAAGAAAATTCTCCAATGGACCAAAAATTTGAATTTCTCATCTGGTTGAAAGAATTGGGAGATAGAGAAGAGACGTTAGATGAAGAGAAAGGGAAAAAGGATTATATTTTGATAAAATGTGGAAGAAATTAGAAATTTTATGAGGTGCAACAATATGGTCAGTCGTGAGAAACCAATTGATGTGCATGGCTGCCTGAATTATAACCTTTGCCTGTTACTATTCATTTTCTTTTCTATGTTCTGTTCTGTAAAAATGATGGTATAGAAAATTATTGACTTCCAGAATTTCTTATAGATTCAGCAGGATAGGCTCATTTAAGCACCAGCAGCCAACTGTTTAAAAAAATGAATGTTATGATTAATTACCAGGTGTAGGATGCTGCTTTGAAATATCTTACAAACTTATTTTATGAATTGCAGGTGAAAGACATATTGTACCACTTGTATATGACTGCGAGAGGTAATCTACAGAGACTCCTGCCAAAAGAGATTAGGATTGTTAAGTATCTACTTGCAATTGAGGATCCTGAGGAGCGATTGTGTGCCCTAAATGATGCATTTACACCAGGAGAAGAACTTGAAGGGAAGGATTTGGACAACCTTTACACGTAAGTCTATTGCTCTGGATTAATTTTTGTCAAAATCTAGTACATCTGTGAATTAGGCTTTGCAGTGCATTGTGAAAGTCCTTAATCTTCGAAAGCTAGGGTTTCAGGCTCTGCTGTTTATACTTTCCACCTTGTGAAAGTCCTTGAGATTGCACTTTCCAAGGGTATATGGTGGAGAGTGATGCACAAAGATTCTGCTGAACATGATGGGTTGGGTTAGTACTTATCCCACAGAAAAAGAAAAGAATTAGTTGCCTGGATTTCTTGTCATTTACCTAACAGACTATGGACAGAAGCTCAACTGTGGACTTAAAAGTATCTTTTAAATTTGTTTTATTCTTTTCTTTAGGCTAAGTTTGGTGCCTCGTTTAACTTTTTGTGATGAAATATTAGGACTCCAGAGAAGCTCCATACCTTGATGAGAGCTGTGGTGGATGCGTATAATTTCAGCCAGGAAGGCACTCTCCTAAGGGAAGCTAGAGATTTGATGAATCCAAAGATAATTGAAAAGCTGGAGGAGTTGATAAAGGTCGTGGAAAAGAGCTTCATGTGACATGGAGCTAAGTCATACTTGTCGATAGCTCTACATATGCTTCTTGGTTCAGAGATGACAATCTTTGAGTCTGACTTGCTCTTGCGAATCTGAAAATGAGTGGCAACTCTAGTTTCATGGTTTGCTTTTCTGCAAGATAGAATCTATGAGACCACATGGTTCATGGCTTGAGCAGGACTGTGCTTGTACCTCAAAGCTTTAATCCAGTGTTACTTCCCCACAAAATTTTGCAATGGGAAGTATAGTCTGAGATGTGAACCTTCAAACATCTTAGAGGTGTGAATGATCTCCTGCTGATGTTGATTATGTTGTAGTCCTAGAAATTTTTATCACAATTTTTAGTGTAATTTGTTAATCAGATTTTGTATGAATTACTGTAATCATCTTATTCATTACATGATTTATTGCTTACCGAGGAGTCTCTCTCTCATTTTCCAATACCTCTGCACACTGCAAAGAGTGTTTGTAATGTAGGATATTTCTTCATATTTTTTATGCATTAGTAATTTGCCATTTTTGGGCATCATCGCACAGCTGCGAGGTGGCTTCCTTGTTGCATATGCATCCATTTAGACAAGCAAACGAAACCAACATGTACCTCTTTTAATCACCATAGAAGATGCACATCATGTGTTTTTACAATAGCAGATAGATTTTGTTCAGAAAGAATTATCAAAGGTAAAAAGGGAACTTGCTCTAAGAAATTGATGAAGTCAAGACACCAGACGTATAATCACGTTGTTCTTAAAAACAAAAAGGAAATTTATAAAATAAATAATAAAATTTTTAACTAAACAAGACAATTTAGGAGCAGAGGAAATGATAATTCATGAAAGGTGTTAAATTGTTTATTTGTGTTCTTAATTTTTTTTTAAAAAAAGAAGGGAATAAAGGATACCATCAAATATAATTATTTTCTATTTATTTCGTAAGTTTTAAATTTAAATTCACTTTCTTCAATTTGCAAAAGAACAAAACAAAAAGCCTAATTTTACATTCTATCAGTCTCTTTTACTTATTTCGACCATATCCATATGCCAATTACTAAATCTCTAAAGTAAAAAATAATAATTAAATAAAATCAAATTATATCAGCAATTTATATATTGTTATTAGTGTTTTTTTTTTCCTGGAATAATGCAGCTATACTTAAACCATATATACACGGTGACACGTGAAAGTTAAACGGCGTCGTGTTCGAGTTGGACTCTTCTCCAGCATGATACGTCTCCGGTGGTGACTCATCCTACACCGTTCTTTCCTATCTCAGCTCAACCTCTGCTACGCCTTTTCCTTCGAAACAAAGAAAAAGGAAAAGGGAAATCTTTCCGCTGTGATTCACATTATTATATTTTGTTGTCAATCCAACACTACTTTTTGTTTTCATTTCAACTCCTTTCAGGGATTTCGATTTTCGGTTCGTTTGATGAAGAGGACGGTTTTAATTTAGATGATGTCCAAAAAAGCCAGCAACTGCGCTATTTGCGACAATTCGAATCGCGCTTCTATTTGCGCCGTTTGCGTCAATTACAGGTAGAAAAAGAAATCTTCGGTATAAACTTCATTGAATTTGCCTTTTAAGCTGTTAACCTTTTTGTTGTTTTGATGAACTCTTCTTTGCAGATTAAATGAGTATAATTCTTTGTTGAAATCTTTGAAAAGCCGCCGTGATTTTTTATACTCAAAATTAGACGAAGTGCTTGCTGCAAAGGTTCCATTTCTTTCACTAAATTAAACCTTTTTTTAATTCCTTTTTCGAGTTTTGTTTAATTATTAGTTGTGTTATTATTAGGGGAAAGCTGATGATCAACTCAATTGGAAAATTCTTCAAAACGAGAAGCTAACTGACTTGAAAGAGAAGCTTCGTTGCAGTAAAGAACAATTAGCTCAAGGTTTTGATGCTTGCTCCTTAGTTATTATTCATAATTTCTATTCATGTTAGTTGTAATTAGACTTATTTTAAATGATGCTTTATTTATAGGGAAGGCTAAGATTGAGAGAGTGTCTTACGACTTAAAGGTTAAGTATGGAGTGCTTGAATCCGCTCGTGGCATGGTACTAACTTTGTCTCATTTTGTTTCTTCATGAGAATCTGGTTTTTAAGTTGTATGAACGATAACTATAGGCAATATATTTTTCTCTTTGCAGTTGGAAAAGAATCGTGTAGAAAAGCTCGAGAAGTTCTATCCCAACCTTATCTGCACACAGAGTTTGGGGCATGTAAGAACTACCTGTTATTGATGTTTTGTTATTTTTGAGAATCTAGATTTATGTTTATGTTGGGTTCTTGGTTTTTCTAGTCTATTAGAATGTCTTTATTTATCTAAAAGTTATGACTTAATACATTTCCTGAGTTGCAGATGGCAATTACCTCAGAACGTCTTCATAAGCAGTCTGTGGTCATAAAACAAATATGCAAATTGTTTCCCCAACGCCGGGTATGTGCTATGTAAAATTTGTTTTGATCCCATATAGTGACTGGTGACTAGTAAGCGTGCCTGATATGCTTCCTTTAGTTATCAACCATATCTTGATGATCTTAATTGATTATGTAAGTTACGGTGATTTAACTGAAAACCTAGAGTGATATTTTGCTTTTACCTTCAGTTAACGACGTAGCTAATGTGGTTACGATGACGATATTAAGCCCAAAAGCTTATATGTCTAGTTCCCCTCCCCCTCCCCTTTCCTATTTGAGTCACTAAGCCTCCTAGTTTAAATCATGTTGCTTTTAAGTAAGCTAAATTGGTTCAATTTTCACAGGTAAATTTAGATGGTGAGGGAAGAGATGGATCTAGTGGTCAGTATGATCTGATTTGCAATGCTCGCTTACCAAGAGGGCTTGATCCACACTCTGTTCCATCCGAGGAGCTTGCTGCCTCATTAGGGTAATGTTTTTGCTTCTTTTTATCAGGCTATAAGACCACAATATCCCTGCTATAATTATTTTTTACCTCATTGGGTAATATAACATAGGGATACTTCCTTTGGCCTTCCCTAAGTTTTAAATGTTAATCATTATCTAAATTATTTAGTACTATGAGTTTTCCAGTTTCTGACACTTTGATAATCCATATGATTTGAATACAGATACATGGTGCAACTTCTTAATCTTGTTGTTCATAACTTGGCTGCTCCTGCACTTCATAACTCAGGTTTTGCGGTAAGAACAAAGAATTGATTACACCTGTATGCTATTTCTAAAAAATATCTTGAAAATTTTTGTTTTGGATTTCTTCGAATCTTTTGAGTTTTTGAGTTTTTGAGTTTTTTAGTCATTTGCGTTTCCTGTGGGTAATCTTCAAGAGGTCTAAAAATGCAAATCATAATGAAAAATTACTAAAGAAAATTACCATTCTTTTAGACGGTGTTGGTAAAAGAATAGCTCATTCTTTTTATGCATTTTATTAAGCATTTCTAAGAGGGTTTTTTTTTTTTTAATGTTTGAAATGTAGTTTATTTTGCAAGTTCTACTCAAAAATATCTTTTCGTTTCGATTAGGATGACTTGCATCTTTAAAAGTTATGATTGCAGTACAAAAATATTTGCATTTCATTTTTCAACAACCTTCTGCTTTCCAGAACGAATTTCAAAGGATTCAAATTTCGTGACTTTTTTATGCTGAAAAGCATTATGATGGTTGTTCTTCCTTCAAATGTTCTTTATGTTTTTGTGCTGGTGATTCTTTCTTTAAATATGTTAGTTTTCCATTGTTTGCTTCTGGTGGTGCAAAATGTCTACTAGCAATGATGTTTTGGAGATATTTCCCCTTTTCAAGTTCTGCTGTTTCCCATAGAAGGATGTTGGTTTCAATAATGATGAACAAACAAATTGATTGCATGCAAGATATTTATTATTGTTGTACTCATCATAATATAGTTTTATCTCAGGGGTCTTGCTCACGGATATGGCAGCGAGATTCTTATTGGAATGCACGCCCTTCTTCTCGAAGGTGTCTAACTAGAAATTTTAATTAACATGGCTGACTAAGGTTTTTCTCTTATGGGACTGAATATGGGTTTGTGTTTTGCAGCAATGAATATCCACTTTTTATACCGCGCCAAAATTATTGCTCTACTAGTGGGGATAATTCATGGACAGACAGAAGCTCTAGTAATTTTGGTGTCGCTTCAATGGAATCTGAGAGAAGGCCCCGCCTGGATTCATCTGGAAGTAATAGCTTCAATTATTCTTCTGCCTCTCCTCACACTGTTGAAACACATAAGGACTTGCAGATAGGGATATCTCTTCTGAAGAAAAGTGTTGCATGCATAACAGCTTTCTGCTATAACTCACTCTGTTTAGATGTTCCCATTGAGGCATCTACCTTTGAAGCATTTTCTAAATTACTGGCCACTCTATCTTCAACCAAGGAAGTGCGATCTGTTTTTTCCTTGAAAATGGCTTGTTCAAGGTATATCCTGCCTTCTATTTCTGATCTATGAACTGAATCATCATTTAAGTTGTAATAGTTGGAAAATTTTGAACTACAAAAAACAAATGGTTTTAGGTGTTCTTCAATAAGACTTAAGGGGGAAAAATATTTGTATAGTTATTTTCAGATGGTACTTTAAGTTCTAAATTGGTCTTTCTTTACAAAGTAGACTTTGCGAAATTTATAGCTAAATTTGGAAGTCTCAGGAGTTGGATTCATGAATGAGCCATTTGACTTACGCAAATGAGAAGACAGTCAGGTATCTTGTGGGAAGAGTTTGAATGTCACCATACGTACTGAAACAAAATTACTGTGCTTCTTTTCCAATGGCTTTATCAATTGATTAGTAACCCTTTGATTTTAGGATGCACCATATTCCCCCTTCTAATTTGCTTCAAGTAAACAGATCACCAACATATTGATTATATATGGTCTGAAAGGCATCTCTTGGGCAGGACATGAATGATTTTTTTCCCCTTCTAATTTTGGTAAAACTGAATTTCATATGATTTTTAGCTCTTTCATTTATCAAACCTACTCACAGCTGATTTAAATTAGCATTTCACCAATTGTTATTTGTTTGATCTTGTCAAAATAGAAATTGTCTTGATAAGCCTTCAAAGACAACCTGTTTTGAGTCTCTTGTGCTGTGGAGGGAGCTGAGCTTGAACTGATTTGATACTTAGTTCTATAAAATCCTAGTTTCTGGCTGGTGCTGAATCTATCTTACAAATATGTTGGCATGATGAATATGAGAACAACTGTTGTTATTTTCTATTTGCTGCTCTCTTTATACACGTTCACATGTATGGATATATTTTGGATTTCGTAGTTGTTCATTGTGCTTATCTTTTGGATTTTCAGGTCAAGTAAGCAAGCTCAACAACTTAACAAATCTGTATGGAATGTCAATTCTGCCATGTCATCGAGCATGTTATTGGAGAGTGCACACATGCTGCCTTTGACGGTATAAAATTGCCTTTGACTTTGTTCAACTGAACCTTTTGAGATTTTAGCTTGTTGACTTGTCACCATTATACATTCTATTCTACTACTTTTCTGTCTTTTATCTTTTGTTGCTGTTATCATTGGGGACGTAGAAGTTTTGGAAAAATATGACTAAAATATATTCTATGACTCAGCTGTTTCCATTCAATTGAAAGGCATTTGCATGGTTGGATCATTTCTTGATTTTTATTCTAGGTTGGTAGTGAATTTATATGCTTTTCCAATTGTTATCTCCATTTTTACAGAAATTGTAATAACCATGATTGATGAGATTGGTTTTGGACTGTAGCTTGGAAGCTTGACGATTTGAATAAACAATTATGATTTTGTTTTACGTTGACCTTGCAGAAAAACCTCTCTGATCATAACCTTCCAAGTTCAGCTGCCAGTTTTCTTTTTGCCACTGAGATGCCTGATATTGGGAAGAAGGAAAGCCTTATTGAAGAATGGGATCTTGTGGAGCATCCAACATTTCCCCCTCCACCGTCACAAACAGAGGATGTTGAGCATTGGACTCGAGCCATGTTTATTGATGCTACAAAGAGATGACCGGTGCTTGTAAGTGACACATTGCATATGCAATCTAGTAAAGTCTTTGAGTTATGATATATTAGCAGTATGTATCTCAGGCCAGTGATTTTCTTTCATCATGAAATCTGAACAAACACGGCTTTAAACCAAACAAAACCATGGTGTTAAGCATTAACATTGTGGAGGCCATTCTTATAGAAGGAATCATGTCTACCAAATGTGATGTAGAAAAGGATAATTTGTTTGGTCCTCTCCATAATTGATTGTTGGTTTTTCTCTCTTAACAAGATGATTTTCTTCTGCATGTTTAATTGATAGGTTCAAGGAAGAGGATATACTTAACAAATGCTGGGAGGGCGGATTGGCATTTACAATATGTTTACTGCATGGCCTTGTGTTAAATGTAAATAGCTAGAGATGATGTCGGCAGTGATTTGTACATATAATTATAGGTAAATTGAGATCTTCTTTTTCCTATTTTCCATGGAAAAAGAAATAGTAGAACAAAATTATTCAACAAACAGGTTAGCTTTGTCCGGTAAAATTTCTTTCCCTTTGCCCGGATACAACACGGTATTGCTTTGATTCTTGTATTTAATTTAAATATAATTATTAATTAATCTTTTGAAGTTTAATATTATTATTGTTAGTGCAGTGATATTTATTGGAATTCTAGAGGAGAAAGAGAAACTTTAATCTCCTAAGCAAGTACTGGTTCTGTTCGCGGCTAAAGTATATGACGTAATGGTGATTATACAATTAAATAAAAAAGTTGTGTTCTATTAGTTTCTAGCTATAAAGTCCTAATCATAAAGTATAATATTGTGATTGGCTTCAATGCTAATTTAACATGAAATTTCAAAGTTGTCTAAACATGCATATATGAAGGAAAATTGAAGTCATCAATTGTTGTCCCTCAATAGTTAAAAAGCTTAAGCTACATGAAATAAAACTGTGGTTAAAGAACTCAGTTTGCATTATTGAAGCAAATCTCAAAAGTGTATTAACTACTTCTTCCTCTTCTTTGGTGGCTGAACAGGCTCTTCTTCATCCTCTTCCTCTTCTTCATCTTCGGGCTCTTCATCTTCTGCAATTTCTTTCTTCTCCTCGTCGCCACCTTCATTGTCTTCATCATCATTCTCATCATCCTCCGGCGCATCATCATCCTCATTCCGGTCGTCATCATTGCCATTTTCCTCTTCTTCCTCTTCTCCATTCTCTTCTCCACCACCACCATTAGCCCCTCCTTCAGTTCCCTTCTTGGAGTCGCCATTTGCGTCATTGGGACTGTTCCCATGCTCAGCTCCTCCTCCCTCTTCATCGGAAGGGTCCTCTTCTTCACCTTCTCCATACCCACCATCATCATTGTCTTCATCTCCATCTCCATCTCCCTCAGCATCAACTGCTTCACATTCACGTCCACCCAAATAACTTTCGCTGTTTTTACCTTGGGTTGCTATCAACAGCTCAATAAGATCCTGAAACTAAATCAAGTTAATCTTGGCGATTACATTACACCAACACAATGGAAAGGAAAACGGTCCAAAACAAACAACGATCCTCGTTTATTGGGTTTTTTTGGGCTTCTTTCTTGATGACTAACATGGGATGGGCCTTTCATCCAAGACTTACTGGGCTAATCAAACGTGTAAATCCAAGCCCAATCAATCTCTTCCTTTTAATAAAGATTTTCTTCTGGATTTTAAAGGCAAATGATCTACATGTAACATTAGACTATCCCATATATATTCATATTATGTGCAAGGTTGAACGTGGTCCACGATGAATAAAATATGCATGCATACACGAAAAGAATTTTTTTATCTTTTTTTTTAAGAAAAAGAATTATGTTCTTTACACAAATAAAGTAATAGTTAAAAGATATCGTTCTTGACATCAGAATCAATTTTGTCACATTAAAAAATAAGATAAGATAATAAATGATGGGCCCACAAGGAACCAAACTCACGGAACTCAACAGAACTTACATAAACCGAATCTATGTTTCCATTTCAGTTCCGAACACGTATACTCCACCAACAGCAGCGCAAGTTAGCATGCTCAAAAAAAAAAAAAGAACCTAGTACTTACCAAAAAAAAATCCAATGTAAATTACAGACACTAAAACATAACGTTAATATTTTCAGGAATTAAGATTAGCAAACTTACTCGTGGTGAAAGAAGCAGCTGAGCTTGAAGCTTAACCAAGGAGGCGAGTAGCGTAAGCAGCGTTCCCCATGCGCACGTTAGCAAACCCTGGTTGGACATCAACTCGACGTCACCTTTTTTAGTCTCCATTTGTACGGCACACAGAAAAAAGAAAGCCCCTGCGTAGGGACAGCGACAGTAACATCAATCAAATGACCGTTAGATGTGATAACCGTTATCTCAACCGTCAGATCTACACAGTTTTGTTCCAAAAAGGAAGAACAAAACTACTAAAATAGAGAAGGCATGGGGATATATATATATATATATATATATATATATATATCTGTCTCGCCGGAAACAGTTAACGTTGCTTAAAAGAAAATGACAAAAAAGAAGGAAAACAAAAGTTTACCTGAAAAACTCTGGGTGTTTGGAAATTTTCCGGGAAAGGTGAGGAAAATTAAGGGTGGGGGTGAAGTAGTACAAGAAAAGAAAAGGAAATGCGGAGTTTCTAAAGAGTAAGACAAGGCAAAGGGTACTTTGAAAAGAACGGAGGACGATATAGATCTAAGGCTGCTTTATGCTACAACATTAACAGGGTTCTGATTGGACTTTTGTTTCAATGCCAGCCCTTCGATCATAATCATGTGGAGAAGGAACGAGAGAAAGGGTTTCTTCTTTTTCTTTTTTCCGTGAAAGTTTTGAGTCAATGTTAAGGTAGACAAACACACGGGGCAAAGTACAGTGGAAATTTGAAGTAAGAGTAGAGAGAGAAAGTAAGAGCAGAGCAAAAAAAAAAATGAAAAGCAAAAGACTTAAAGAAATGAAGTCTTTGTTAGTTTATTTTATTATTTGGTTGCCTGGGAATAGGATTCGATATAACTGCACGTTTAGTTGGTAGATATGGCGTTGTCATTTATTCTTATACGCCCCTTTTATTTTTGAAATGATAAATCCTTTTTTTTTCCTTTTATTTTATTTTTTCAGACCTTTGTCATATTGAGAATATTCAAGTTCAATTATTAGCTAAGTTTGGTATTTCATCCGTTTAAATTTATCAAGTGACTTAAACACTACTCTTTCTAATTAAATACCCTTTAATTAGATTAAATTAATACACTAAGATCATACTATAAGATTGGTATATATATTTCTACACGTAATTCTTCTTTTTTCTTTAATTAGATTAGAGAAAGTAAGTTCTTAATTCCCTCTTTGATCTCTTCTCTTTTCCTTTTTTGAAGAGATGGAAAATTAAAGCAAAGCATATATATTAAAAAGAAAAAAAAAGAGAGCTCAGCTACGCATACATGAAGTAGAAATGCCATTGGCATTTGTTCCAAAGACACATTAGCTGACGATATTATTCTTCCTCTGACCCCGCCCCTCACCCCAGGCTTGGATTCCTTGTCGTACGTTCTATTCAAATGAGACTGCTCCACGCCTTACAATATATTCTGCTAAGTTTTTGGTTCCATTTTTCCTGTTTAATAGGGAGTGCATCATGCTCAAAACATGGTGTACAGTGTGCGTGAGGGTGCATCTAAGTAGTATAGAGAAATGGACAGTTCATGATTTTGCCAACAAAACTGATAAAAAGAAGTGTAATGATAATGAATGCCCATTTTGGGTTCAGAAGATAACTGTTTCAATAATCATTTTGAGTACCATGGACCTCTGGGAGAAGATTTTTGGTTAGGTTAATTAATTATATGCATCCTTTGTTCCAATACTAATAGTTATATATATAAGTGCACTGACACTTTTGGCCAAGAAAAGTTTTGATAGCTTTGTTTTTAATTAGTAAAAGGGAACAGATGATAAGGGAAAGAAACAAGTACAAAATTTGGACCTTAACTCTGATAGCAGATGTCATATACATACTTATAATAATTAATTACTATATCAAATTTGGGTTGATACCATGATCATAACAAAAATGATGGATATTCATACAAATATATTTTTGGCATATTCTCTATGGGATATGCCACTGGAAATTTGGGATGCTTGAATTATACTTGAATGGTATATATGGACAAATTATTATGGTGAGATTAATTGAGAGGTATGAGAGTATAGACTAGAAGAAAAACAAAAATGATTCATCCATTTTTACAGTAAATTTTTTTTTTCTTTTAAATTCTGGGAATGCTGTTTGCCAGGAGCAGTCTAACTTAACCAATTAATTGTAATGTTCAACCTTATTGGACCAAAAATTAAGGAATGAGTGAATATGTCCAACATTGAACGTGTAGGTAAAATTCAAGAAAAGGAAAGCTCACATTAATGCAATCTAAAAAAAATTAATTTCTATGTCAATCTAAAAGAATAATGAATAAATAGAATAAGCTTATGATGATTAGAAATTGGCTAAGGATGGACAAAATTTTGCTAAAATGAAGCTGAACTGGTACGCCGCAGCTGGTACTTGGGCTGAGCATTTGTATTCGAGGACAAAAGCATATTCACTTCCTGTTCAAACAAGTAGAATTAAACCAGTGATTCTGACTGCTTAATCTTTCCCACCTTTCTATAGATGCTAAAAACTGTAAATCTTTTACTTCCAAGACTAAGTATATATCTTCACTTGCACATTTTTCACAGCTTTTTAGGAGATTAATTACCTCAAAAACAACAACTACACACAAATCTGTTATATGCTCCTCTACTAACATATGGAGATATGATTCGCTAAGGCTACTCTAAATCTTCCCTTCAGGAAGAGCCTTAATTTCTATCTCAAACAAGTTAATTGAAGTCTATATATAGCCAAGCTCTTTTAGCTAGCTACTCCTAACGTGTTGGAATGAAATCTATGTTTGGCATCTGTGCAAATAACTTTTGATTTTCTGCTGTGAAGCATTATACCAACAGACACTAAAAGAAACAGCAGTCCCTGGAGTAACATATGTTCGTAAGTTTCATGGCCATCCCATCAACCTAAAAGAGGGGAATGCTGTTGTTAGTTTCTCATGAATTGGTTGACTGAATAGGCATAGCTAATCAGCATTGAACTGATAGCCACTAATTAATATGAACCCATTACTTTTTATTCCATCGACAAATATTATTCTATGCCCATTCAGTTTTTTTTTTTCTTGGCACATGAGAAATTCTTAATATGGTGCCAAATTTTTGCAGGGGAATCTTTATGACCTTGTCTTCAAAAACAAGGCTTTAAAAAGCTAGTGCCTAGTGGGGTATGAAATGGGCTAAATTCCCTTGATTGCAAACTTGTAATGGGTTAAAAGAGTTGACACTTGACAAGGCCTTGAAGTCATGCAAACTTTGCTGCATGTTCTCAAAGCTCTAAGGGAGAACAGTTCCTTGAAAATCCTAAGAACATAAAATTAATAAACCCAATTTTTAAGAACAAATCTAAAGGTGAACATAAAATTGTTCCCAGAACAAGACATCCCTTATTATCTCTTAGATTTTTGTTAAATTCATCAATGGTTAACATAATCTGTTTCATCACTTAGTAAA